AATATCCCAAGTGGCTAATGGCCAGATGATTTCTGCTTAAAATATAGCAGATCCATTATTGGTACCTGGAGCCATAAGTTCTAGAACAGTAAGCCTCAGGGGCCTCTAGACATGGAGCAGATTTTTTTTTAAAGATATATTCTTACTTTGTAACCCAACTGACCTGGAACTCACTATGCAGCCCAATTGGGTCTCAAACTTGTAATAAACCTCCTGCCTGTGTCTCCCAAGTGCTGGGATTCCACCGCCATGCCTGGGAAACACAGTCATTTTTTTGAGAGGTTATTTGATGTATCCACAGAAGGTCCTATCCACCTCACTTCATGGTTTCTGGCCTTGGTTTCTGAAAAGGGAGAAAATAGTCCCAAATTTTGCTCACTGAGTTGCAGCCTAAGACACTTTGCTTGCCAGAGCATGCTACGTTCCAGAGGTGGTACCCCCAGCTGGCACCCAGATTACACAATCATAAAGCCCTTTCTTTGTGCAAAGGCACCACTCTGGGTTTAACCCTCTATTCTACCAAAACCTTTCCACCCATGTGCGTAGGGACCACTATCTTGAAATGTCATTATACCTGTCTCAATTCTACTCATGCTTTAAGAAGCCTCTGGAAAAAAAAGTTATGATACCCCTTAGTTCCATCTGTTTTATTAAAAGTATTGTATGTGTGATGTGTGTGTGTGGGGGGGTGCATGTGTGCAAAGCATTTAGAGGTCAGAGGACAACTTTATGGAGTCCATTTTGTTTTGTTTTGGTTTTCAAGACAGTTTCTCTGTGTAGCTCTGGCTGTTCCTGGAATTCACCCTGTAGATCATGCTGGCCTAGAACTCACAGAGATTGTCTGCCTCTGCCTGCTGAGTGATGGCATTTAAAGGCGTGTGCCACCACCGCCTGGCTGGAGTCAGTTCTTTCCATTTTTTATGGGTTCCAAGGTTGAAATTCAGATCAGCAAGCTCACTCAGCAAGCAACCAATTCACCTGTGTAAGTTCTTCAGGTTAAGAGCTGTGTTTCAACGATTTTGATAGCCCTGGCATGCGGGACTCAACAAAAGTATTCAGCAGCTTTTGCTGGAAGGATGGCTCTTCCAAGGTAGGTGCAGTGGAAGTGGGGGTGGGGGTGGGGTGTATGTGTACGTGTGCCCAGTAGGAGTCATGTGACCCCACCCAATCGGGCTCTCAAGAACATACTCTCAGCCTCGTTCCCCCACCAGCCTCAGCAGGCCTTTCTCTGGCCTGGGTTGAGCCTCAGACTTGCATGCAGATGGCAATACATTGTCCACTGTGCCCCAACCTTGGACAGTCCTCACACAGAGGAAGCTGCGTCGTGGAGCCCCTGAGCCACCTTTCCAAATGCCATGGCATTTGCATCTGCTGACTGGTGGCACTGTGTGAGCTCGGCATGTACTTCCCCATTCCAGTTTTCTGCCTCTACACTTCACTATCCCAAGAGGTTCTTTGAACCCCACCGCCTCCAGCCCCCTCCATACATTGATTTCCCTGGCCCCGTCTGTTAATCCCAGAAGGAGAGTAGCAAGGAAACTGACTCCAAAAGCCAGTGACATTCTGCAGCCAGAACAGAAGGATGTTGGAGGAGGGGCAGCAAAGGATGTCTTAACCCCAGCAGCCCGAGTCTCAGAGCGGCTAGGAGCCACTGTATGTGGATGAGCCTGAGCTGGCTCCAGCTGGACCTCATAGATCTGCTTCAGGTGTTCTGGTGACAGGCGCTATGTGCTGCCAGGTTCTTAGAGATCACCGGGTGCACACTGCAGATCCAGCCTGGGAGTATGGGACAAGAGGACACCTTGCGTGGTGACAGGAAAAAGAGGAATAAGACCCCGGTACCTAAGGGCACCTTCGGAAGAGCTGGGGACATATAAGGGCATGCAGCTGGAAACCAACCCTATGAGAAGCAGAGACGGGGCACTGGCACACGCAGCCAGTCTTCGGGGAGCAAAAGAGCCGAGCAAGGCCTGCTCAGTCAGGTTCATGCTTGTGTTCAGTGGCAAGCTGGAGTACAACTGACTAGGATTTTTTTATTTCCTTCAGAGCTTTGAAACAGGGTCTCACTCTGTAGCTCAGGCTAAGACCAAACTCACTGCAGTCCTCCTGCCTCAGCCTCCTGAGTGCTGGGATTACAGGCATGCATCACTGTGTTCAGCTTTGTTTAGTTCAAAAGGTATTCAGCTTCTGCCTGTGGTGCGTTCAACCAGGGCTCACAAAAGATGAATAGAGTTTAATCCTTTTCTCAAAGAACGCATGGTCTAGACTGGGAGATGGGCTCAAGACAGGACAGAGACATCCTGGGGAAGCAGAGGCGGATGCACACTCTGTTCAGGGTAAAGCATCTGGCGGGCAAAGCTGGGAGGAGCGCTGGTGCTCCCAGACACCAAATGTGAGGTCACTTGTGCTTCAGGCCTGAGGAGGGAACAGGTAAGGAAAGGACAGAGGGGAGCAGGATGGCTCCCTTTTAAGGCTGTCACTGTTGTCAACTGGTTGTATTTGTTTGAAAGATACTTCAGTGAGATGTACTAACATTTCAAATCCACACACACTGACCCAGCAATTGCATTAGTGGGAATTTATCTCTCCTACATGAGCAAGAGCACAGTTTGTTTGGACAGGGATATTTATTGTTGTGTTGTTTGTAGCTGCAAGATGAACAAGTGTTTAAGTGTCCATCACTGGGGGCCTAGCTAAATAAATCATGACACAGCCATCAGAGGCTTTACTGAACAGCCTATATCCAGTGCAAGGGAGACCCTCCAGACTGCTGTATCAGTCTGCAGAAGGCTGCAAGCTACAAAGACCAGGTGCAGTGCAGTGGGCCATTTTACAAATGATCACATGTCACAAAAAGATCTATGTGCATCAGTGCTTAGCCAGCTGTAGAGTACCGCTGGAAAGATACGGAACCTGAAGCAGGGGAGGAGGTAGGCAGTGAGGATGCTTGTTTTTTACTGTGTGCTTGGGCTTCCTTCTTTTGTTTTTCGCCTCTCCCTTCCTCCCACTCTTCCTTCTTTTCTTTATAAGATTTTTGCTACATTTGTATTGGAATGTGTGCATGTGTGTGTCTGTGTGGGCATGCATGTGCCGTGGCACACGGGTGGAAGTCAGAGGGACAATTCTCTTCTTCCACCAAACTCAGGTTGCCAGGCTTGGAGGCAGGCTCTTTACTTGCCGAGTCATCCCCATGGCCCCTCTTCTTTTCTTCTGCAGTGCTGGGGTCCTAAGGCATGCGGAGCAAACCCTGTGCCATAGAGCTGCACCTCTAGCTTACTGAATGCTTTTCAGAAAGCTTGACAACTCCATTTGCTTTTGGCTTTGTTTTCTTCTTTTTTGTTATTGGTTGTTTCATTCGTCTGTTTTATTTTGAGACCGAGTTTTACCATGTAGACCCTGCCTGGCTCAGAACTCACTATGGAGGCCAGGCTGGCATCAAATTCACAGAGATCCCCTGTGTCTGCCTCTGCAATGCTGGGATTAAAAGCGAGAACCTTCAAGCCAGACTGAGATTTCTTTTAATCATATGCATATGTGACAGAAACAGAGAAAAGAAGGAAGAAGGGTGGCAGGAAGGTAGGGATCTCAGGCAAAGGGAACTGAAGGAACGGAAGTCTGGAGGGGTAGTATAGGATGCAATGTGTATTTGCGTCCCTGCATCTTGGAGCAGAGACTCTCTGAGCTGATCTCCAATAATAAGATGGGGAGTGCATGGTCAGGAGATTGGGAGAGGGGGTGGAGTGATGAAAGCACTCTCAGCCACAAGGCCAAGGTCCCAGAAAATCACAAGTGTTGGCACATTCGAACCTCCTAGGCAGTAGTGAAACCCAGTTGACCTCGACTCATAAAAATACATGGTACTAGAATAAAAATACATAGGCTAGAAGCAGGGGGAGGTGGCCTAGAACAGGGCCACTAAAATCTCAGGTTGTCAGATAGACCTTGTGTATGTCCACAACAGGTTTACCGGGAAATCTAACACTGAGCTGGCTGGTGCTGATTCTCTTTCACTGGTGGGGTCATTTTAATGATCTTTGTGTCTGGGAGAGGGGGAATTTCTTAAATACTCCTCAACCAGCACATGACTGAGAAGGAAAGCTTTTTTTCCCCCGTAGGTCTTTGGGAGAGTGTCAGATCCACTGGGACTTGAGTGACAGACATTTGTGACCTGCCATATGGATACTGCGAATTGAGCCTGAGTCCTCTGGAAGAGCAGCTAGTGCTTTTAACTGCCGAACCATCTCTCCATTCCGCAGACTTTTTCTTTTTTTTTAAACAGAAAGTTGCTGGAACACTGACTTACCTTCACAAGGAGGGACTCTCCTTAGGAAAGCAGAACAGGCCGCCAATGGTTAGCCTGCATCTTTGAAGGCCTCGCAGAGGAGCTTTGCTTCTCGTGCTGTGGCTCAGTTGAAAGACTTTCGCTTGTGAGACACGAGCCTGAGGCCATCTCAACGGTAGTTATCTGTGCGTCCTAAGCAAGGCACAGGCCCTCAGTCTTGGTCTGATTGACAAAATAGGCCATGAGGATCCCACAGGGTGAGTTAGATGCTGCACTAAAGTAATGGATGGGCAGGCACTTAAGCCTTTCTCGTAGCTCCTCCCTCTGGGCCCTGTCAGAGCCCAAGTCTCGGGAGAAAAGAAATGAGCACCCCCTATGTGGAAAGACCCCACATCTCTTCATAATCTAGCAAGACTAATCCTGATGGCTGGCCCTGATCTGAAGCAAAATATCAAGAGTTTTTTGATGGGGTGGGGAGGTGGGGAGGATGAGGAGGATGAAGAAGCAAAATATTGCTTTTCTGTGCAATTGACTGCTCACTGAGGCTCTTTGCTCACCAAACACAGCCGGCAGCTAAGGCTCCTTGGTGCAGAGCTTGGCTTCCGGTTGAGCATTGAGCATGCTCACCCTCTCCAGGCCAGCTGAGGAATGTGGGCTGGTCTAGACTGGATGGACTCTGTGTCTCCTCAGGCTCCTCCCCAAGCCCCAGACTGACCCCTCCTCAGACTGAGATGAAGGAGCCTCTGTCTCTTGGGGCCCCTGCCTGATTAGACATGGCTGCCACAGCAGCTTCTCACTTGCACTCAGGCACTGAGAGAAGAAAGGCCCAAGGCCTCCGGGCTGAAAGTAGCTGGCCTGAGGTCTCATCAGGGACTGGGTGAGTCAGAAGTCCCTGCTGGTCTCTGTTCCCAAGAGGAAACTTTGAGTCTTCCCAGGCTTTTAGGGCAGGGAGGGTGGGACTTGTCCAGCCTTGTCGCTGGAGTTGTCAGTGAAGGTGCAGGCCACATATGCAAATTCAATGACCCTCCAGTTCTGCCCAATGCTGCTTCTGCGGAGGTGGAGCTTGTTCACTGGCTGCAGTGAGGTGGCAGCCTGTGGTCACCTCTGTGCCTAATTAGGTTGTTCTAAGCCCCTGCAGCTCAGCATTGATGGGAGGAGTTTTTTTCCTATTCTCGCAGTTACGTGCACACCTTCTATCTCCGTGTCCTATGGACTGAGCCTCAACTCCCTCATCAGGAAAACAGGCACAATGACATCTGGAATGTCTGGGAGGAGGACTTGGGGACCTAGTGCACTGACAGCCATAGGAGGCCTTCCATAAGGCAGTTTCCTTCCTGTATTTATTGAGTACTTCCTTTTGGAAGCTCCAGGGAATCCTAAAGTGACTTAGTCTCTACCCTCAAACAGCCTCATGGGTTCCCTTGGCCACTAGCCCAGGCTTGAGTTTGCTTCTGACCGAGAGAATTCTGGCCTGCCCTCTGGTACTGCCTCAGGGCTTACTCAGTGACTGGAGCCCATAGCCAAAAGATGGCTCTCTCTGGGTGGGCTGACAGGCTGCTGGGCACTTCTGTGGACATCATACCTTGACATTTCCACAGCGACTCCTCAAGGAAGTGGCTATTCAAGAAGACTGCAAGTCCCAGCTCTGTTTCACGTGCCTTGTGACTTGGGGCAGATCTTTTAACCTCTCTGTACCTTAGTTTTTTGATCTGTGAAACTAATTAGATTAAAAGTAGCTCCGCTTCCAAGAAGCAGTTCAAATGGGCCTTCACATAGGCCTGACACCTAAGAAGTTTCCCAAATGTGCCAACTGTCATCCATAGGACACTGGGGATCAGAAGAGAAATGACTTGCTTAAGGTCATTCAGTCAGAAGCAACAGAGCCAGGCATGAATCCTGGAGCCAATGCACCCTTAATCAGAACTGGTCTTGCTAACTTCCTGACAAGATGATTGTAAGCATCTGTGGCCATGGTCTCCAGCTGCAAATGTCTGTCTCCCGGGCAGGCTTTCCTCTAGGCAGCAGTTAAGTCCGTTTATCATCATGTCCTGCCACACTCCACATTTTCAATTGTGAGTTTCTAAAATCTATTTTTATTTTATGCACATTGGTGTTTTGCCATGGGTATCGGGGTCCCCTGGAACTGGAATTGCAGACAGTTGCGAGCGGCCATGTGGTTGCTGGGAATGGAACCCGAGTCCTCTGGAAGAGCAGTCAGTGCTCTAACCACTGAGCCATCTCTCCAAGCCCTCATACTCCGTATTTTAAACAACAAGGCTAATAGAATACTGGGTGCCTCTCACTTTAAACATCAGCATATTCAATCCTGAGTTCAGAGCTCAGGGCTCTCCATTCGCCACATGAGAAAACGGAGGCATAGGAAGATTAACTGAACAACAGCCCAGTAACGGTGGCAGAATGAGAACCCAAACCCTAGTAGGCTGGCTCCAAAATCACTGTGAAAGCTGGGCACTGTAGTGCATGCCTGTGGTTGCAGTATTTGAGAAGCTGAGGCAGGAGGGTTACCGTAAGGTCAAGGCTAGGCTGTACACACTGCAACCCTGTCTGGAATACCCAACACAACACCTAAAACAAACCACTGCCTGAAGCCAGTAGCTCCACCTCCTCCGGTGAGAGTGGGAGTCAGTTTGATGTACATGGCAGGTGCTGAATAAGCAGAGATTGAAAGACTGGGTGGGTGGGTGGGTGGGTGAAGGAATGAAGGCAGTTACAATAGGGTGCTGGCCATGAAAATGGAGATATGGGAGAGATTTGAAAGCAAACTGACCAGCTTGGGAGATGAAACCACCTGGGATACGGAGCAGCCTTGGATGACTCCCAGCAGAGGGACAGAGTGCGGGGCTGTGGAGAGCGGCTTTAAGGAAGTCAGAGCATGATGAGTTTGTGGTGCCTTTGATGCAGGATAGCCAGGAGGCTGTGGGATAGCAGGTTTCGATGAGGGAGGTGGGCCTCCTGCCCAGCCCCTTCCCATCTATCCCCCACCCCTTCCATCTCACACGAAGCTGCTGGCCCCTTGGCCTTATTCTTCCCACTGGGAAGGAAGGGAAGGGATCTTTGATGGTGGGAATAGGAGGGGTGGACTATTCTAAACCAAACAAACGCATACACAGTGCCTGCTTGTTGCCGATCCGCTTGCCTAGCTCTGGGCACATGTAGGCTGTCTTCCAGGGCAGACCTCCCCCCACCACCCGCCGGCCCCTGCCGCCTGCTCCCTGCCAAGGTGAGCTCTGACAGGGCGACTTGTCATCTTTTCAACACCTCATTTTTCCCTCCTTACTCACTGCCCGGGGAGAGGTCCTTCCTGTTTGCACACCTCGGGGGCTAGGCCCCGAGGAGGAACAAAAACAGCCTTCATGGTGAAGGGGGAGGGGAAGGCAAGAGAGAAAGCCCGGGGAAGAGGAAGGAGAGAGATGGGCTGAAGAGGAGGGAAGAAGACAGAGCTGAAGACGCCCCCTCTCCTGCCCCTTCACACACACAAGCACACATGCATACCACCTGCAAGGCATTCTGGCCCTGGGTGCCTGATTCCCAGGTCACTTCCTCAGGACTCAGATGTATCGAGAAACCAGCTGTGTCTAGAAACTAGCCACTATCTTGCCCTTCCTACCTCCACAGCAGAGGCTCCGGCCCCGAGTTGCCCAGCTCAGAACCCTCAGTCTTTTTCTACCCCCCACTCAGCCGCAGTCCCAGGGCCTCCATCACAGCTCCCCCACCACTTTCCTCTGAACCTCCAGGTCAGCTAGTCTGTACCCTCTGGCTCCAGGCCCAGGGCTCCTCCGGCCAATCTCCCTCTCCTCCTGGGAGCCCCATCCCGACCACTGCCAAGCAGGTAGTCCTCTCCCCTTCAGCATTGCTGACAGCTCCAGTCTCTTCCAGTCAGCCAGGTCCAGTGTCGCCCAGTCCGCCCCTCCCCCACTCAGCTCCCACGTGGGGAGCCTAGCTCCCAGGCCTGGGCTGCCCCATTCACAGCACCCTCCTCCATTGTCCAGGCCTGTCACTCACGCCTGGCATTAGCATTTCTAAAGCCCTTTCCTAGACGCCGCTTCTGCCCAGGCTGGGCAGAAGAACTTAGCCCTATAGAACAAGGAACAATTAAAACGAGCCTTCAAGAGCACTTTAGAGTATATAATTCACTTTTCTATATAGCCATTTCATTTACTTCTCCCAACAGCCTTTAGTCGTGGGACACTGACATGGAGAGAAGTTTGTGAGCTGCCCAAGGTCACGAAGTGCATTTCCAAAGCCAAGGCAGGTTTTTCTGATGCCAGAAACGTCATTCTTTGCACTCCCACACCTTGCCTCTGTCAGACTTAAAAAGTGGGCTCAGCCAGGCGGTGGGGAGCACGCCTTTAATCCCAGCGCTCGGGAGGCGGAGACCGGTGGAACTCTGTGAGTTCGAGGCCAGCCTGGTCTACAAGAGCTAGTTCCAGGACAGGTCCCAAAGCTACAGAGAAACCCTGTCTCAAAAAACCATTAAAAAAAAAAGGTGGACTCAGTAGCCACACACTCCTAGAAGAGGAAGCCATGCTGGATTCAGTCTGTAAGGGCCTTGGCGTGGCTGTCCTGCTGCCTATAAATGGACAGTCAGCGCAGAGAATATGTTTCTTTTAAAACCCCCACTGGGGCAACATTGGCCTGACCTAAAACGGCCTAAAATACAGTCAGGAAATAGGTAAAGGTTCCCAGGGTAGATGGCCAGCTGCACATCCCCTTTCTGCCCCTTAGCAACTCTGACTTTATTTAGGTGAGTTTTCCTCTCTACAAGGAAGATAATAATGCTATCTCCTGGGGTTACACTGAGTCTTACATGAGTTAATGGACAGATCAGGGACTGAACAGCTCAGTTATCCTGGAGTCTGGCCGGGGTGGGGGGTGTGGAGCTTTGTTGTCACAGAGTTTAGAATTCAGAAACTAGCTCTGTGTGGCTACTACTACTACTACTGTATGGCTTTAGTTGAATAGCCTGCCCTCTCTGGTAGGCTCTCATCAAATCCTTATCAGTAAATAGAGATAATAAGTGTTCTTCTTAGAATCATGAATGGCAATGTTTACACAAATGTTTTCTTTAAAAATACACTTTGTAGGACAGAATGCCATGTCTCTTACGAATTTTGACCAAGACTTCATTTGAGAAGGTGGGAGAGGTGGTTCAGTGGTTAAGAGCACTGACTGTTCTTGTAGAAGACGGGGATTCAGTTCTCAGCACCTACATAATGACTCACAGTCTCCCATAACCTACAGTCCCAGAGGATCCAATTCCCTCTTCTGGCCTCCACAGGTATCACACACACACACACACACACACACACACACACACCCATCCATCCATCCATCCATCCATCCAGACATTCATATTCATCTACCTCTTCCTACCTCATTGCTGATTTGGGGATGCCTCTCTCCAGCCTGGGCACTAGTTACTTTCCAGTGACAGGTGCTCACATGGAGCAGAGTAGACCCTGAAGGTCTACGGCAGAGGCTAGCCGAGCACAAGCACGTTTTGTGTATATACTGTTTCCCTAGGGTGGTGGGGTAGAGTAGATAATCCCTCACATGGGCTCAAACCCTAAAGTCCTCAGAGCCCTGCTCACTACAGAGAGGGTAGGAGTGTGCCTTACAGAAGAACCACCAAGGCTCACAACAGGGAAGATACTTCCTGCAGTCTCTCACAGATCCGGGAGCTGAGACTAGTCTTGCAACTGTTTTCAGGTCCAATGTCCATACAAGCAAAACAATCTACTTTTTTGAGGCCGGGTCTGGCTCTTTAGCCCAGACTGGCCTAGAACCTACGATCCTTCTCAGGCTCCCCAAAGCTAGTATTACAGGTTCATGCCACTATGCAGAGCTCAAACATCCATTTGCCTCTGTTTTCATACACATTAACAAAGTTTTTATCCCTTTAAGACACACTGGCACATCCCACCTCCATAAACAAAAGCTGTTGAGGAAAATTTTATTTTATTTCATGAACTAGAAGCAATATACCTAGGTGTGGTGAAATGATCCTGTGGTCCCAGCATTTGGCCAGCCTGACCTACATATTGAGAACCCGTCTCCAGAAAAAGAAAAACAACAAAAAGCCCAGAAAAGTAAGATACTTATTCTAGTTCCATTGCTCCAAGTGAATTATAACCAGCCCAAATCACTTTAAAATTCCCCTTCTCTTCAGATCTCTGCATTAGAAATCAGTAAAAACATTCACCTAATGCAAAAAAAAAAAGAGTTCTTACTAGACCACTGACTCTGAGTTAGTTAGGCTTGGAGGTAGGGACTTGGTGGTCACAGTAGAGTACAGGATTCCCAAAAGTGAGGCAGGAGAGATGACACACACAGTGGGTAAGAGAGCTTGCTGCTCAAGCATAATGACTTGTCTGTGGTCAAGTCCCCAGAACTCACACTAAGTAAAAAGGTGGCATATATATGCTAGTAACCACAGCACTATTGGATGCAGGAACACAGGATGACTGCTGATGCTGGAGCCTGCTGCTCAACAACCCAGCTCTAGGTTCAGTGAAAGATGCAGTCTTCCAGGAAGAAGGCAGGAAGTGATAGAGCAGGACACCCAGCATCTTCCTCTGGTTTCCATATGTGTAAACATCTTCACACATTCAGGTGCACAGACATCCTTATGCATACACAATAAATAAATAGATAAAAATTTTCAAAAAGAAAGGGTGTGTGTAGTTTGTCAAAGTAGACTCAAGAGACCTATTTTCCCAGGTGGTCTAACCCCTAAAAAGTCAAGCTTGTATCCAAACCGTTTTGCTTGTTGTGGGATACACAGAACACAGAGGTGGATGTGCATGGGTGAAGACAGAAACACAGAGACAGCACGTCTAGATCTGCCTGGTACACCCCCGGGCTGGTTTCTGCTTAACTCATCTGTGTAAAATGTGACCTGGCTCTTTGCACAGATTTTAGTGTCTGTTTATGACAGTCTGAGGTCAAGTCCTAGGACCCATTGTTCATGAGGGAGGAAGGAAGGGAGTTCCACCTGACCAGGAATACCTCCAGGAGAGGCACCAGAGGCCACCATGTAATGGAGAAATAGTCTTCCCAGTGCTCACCACGCTTCTGAAGTGCGGCCTCTCATTCTGACTTCTCTGACAACTAGATGTCATGGGTGTGAGCAGATACAGGAGTGGGTGGGGGACAAGGTTCTGAAACCAACCCCTTCATTTTATAATGTCACCATGCTATCTAGAGAAGCATTTGCTGAAGCTTTCTAGTGACTTAGCCTCAGAACCCAGAGTTTCAGAACTCAGGTCTCTTGACTCCCAAGTCACTATCTTTTCTGAAGTCATTTCACAGCACGGCATACCCACACCCATTCTATTTCACTTCTCTGAATCCCAGATGCTTTCAGGGTCACGGCCTTTGAGTCTGTGTCATTTAATATGATAGCTATATAAACTGAGACCATGACCACTCCAAGGTATGTGTTCCAGTTCTCTCACAGATACTACACAGGTTTCTGGAAAAGTCCTACTGCTGTATCAAAAATCAGGTCTAGTAAAAACTAACCGTCTCCAGAGCCTATTTTAACCCCAGCCAGTTTCAAGCATATTTTACTGGTCACTCCTGCTGCCTGGGCCAAGACCAACTCACAAAGCACTCTCCAGACAACGCCAACACCTGCACCAGCTCCTGGGACTTCACCATTGATACGAGCTCTTTTGGATCAAGGACACCTGCCAACTAAAATCTGTTTTTATCTGCTATTGTGTCCCATCCCTTGGTTAGCCCCATTTCATAGGACCAATAATAACACTATTTTTTTCTCCTAGCCACCTGCCTTCTCATCTCTCTCAAAAAGCAGCTGCCTGAGGACTCCAGGATGACAGCAAACCGGATGCCGCTCCAGTCACTCCTCTTGCTGAGCGTGAGCATGTCAACTCTCAGCTCTCCCCTCTCCCTCCTCACCCCATGCCCGCAGGAAGTAGCCAGACTTGAGTCAACGCCCCTTTATCCGAAGAGAGCCTAAAATGTTGGTCATAAATATCACCTCAGCTTCTTGTTACACCCCTATATTCAAAGAGTCTGGAATGTAATATTAAGTTGGGGGCATCACCCAGCCCCTGGCAGTCATCCTTGGGGTGCCAATGGAGCATCACTGAAGTGGAAAGCTCCATCTCAGGCCCCACCCCCTGGAAGTTGCCTTGGGCCTGACTCCACCTCTGGGAAAGCCCGCCAAATGCTGACCCCTCCCAAGGGAGGGTCAGGACCACTCCCACTGGCTCTTTAGGCTCCCATGGCCACCCGAGAGCGCTGCATTTATTAAACGCGGCATTTCTAATTTGGTCTAATCTGGTTTAATTGGAGTTATTTTGCATCAGCGGAGAGGCTCTTCTTAAGATTTTTTTTCTAACAGTATGGTTGAGGGGAAAGCTTCTATTGTAGATGTGAGGGAGAGTACAGCTAGAGGCATCTGGGAGAGTCCAGGGCAGGGACAGAAAGTAGTAGACAGAACAAAGCCCGCAGAGTGGACCAGGCCATGAGAGGAGGTGGGGGTTGTGGGAAGAGCCAGAAAGGAAGATGAAGACAGTGTGGACAAAGGAGACTACCAGAGAGGGGGCCAGAGCCAAGAGAGAAAGACAAAAGAGAGCTGAAATGGCAGGGTTATATGGGAATGAGAAGCAGGTGGGGGGAAGCCCATGAGCTGGAGAAGTTTAGGGTGAGGGTAGGGTGAAAAGAGCTGAAGAGAGCCCCAGGTACTGAATGGGTCTGGAGCCAGCATGCTCTTTCGAATGCTAATAGGCACCACAGAACTTTTGAATCTGACAATCGCCACTTGCTACCTGTAGCAATTAGATACTTGACACTGAAGTGGAAGGCTCTAGTGGCAGAGCCCTGGGTTCCGTGAATAACAACATAACAAAGGACAGTCCAACAAATTGGAATTAAGATGTGCTGCAAGATGGGGTGGTGATGGCTGGTGACGCATGTCTTTAATCCCAGTAGAGAGGCAGGTGGATCTGTGAGTTGGAGGCCAGCCTGGTCTAAAGAGAGAGTTCCAGGACAGCTAGGGCTGTTACACAGAGAAACCCTGTCTCAACAAAACAAAACAAAACAAAAACAAAAAACCAAACAAACCCCAAAAAGTGCAAGGTGGAGGATGCAAACGGTATTGCAGACACTGCCCAGCTGAGCTGACTGTCAGGGTGTTTAATAAGGTGTTCTAGAGGTCTGTTGGAAATAGACATACACTTTTCCGTGAGTATTTAGTATGGACTAAAGAAAGCGGACTGTCTCATTAGCATGTTTTGTATTGGCCCCCTGAAGATTTCTACGTTCTCAAGTCAATCACTTGCATACTACCAAGTAAGGGGGGAGGGGAGGGGGAGACAGAGTCTCACTATGTAGCCCAGGCTGGCCTCACATTTACCATCTTGCTGCCTCAGTCTTCCTAGTGCTTGGATTACAGGCAGAAGCCACAAACTTTGGCTTAATGTTGTTTTAAACAACCAAGGAACGAGTTTGTGTGACATCCGTTGCAGGTGGTGTTCACACCTTTTCGCATTGAATACATGTTTAAATAATCATATTTTGGATACTTGGGATCAAATATTCAAGTTAGCTTTACTTGTTAATCTTAGATTCTTTAAGTTCTAGCTCTCTTGTGCGTCACTGCGCTAATCTCCAGCAGGAAGGAGTTGACAATGTTGCCAGCAGGGTAGGCAATGGGGCCAGGGGCCAACAGATGGAGAGGAACAGCTACTGATAAGACAGAGAGAAGCAACCAGCAAGCATAGCTTCAGAGGGCTGCGCTAATCGCAGGCTAGTGAGCTCTGGTAAGCACCTTTGACACGGTCCGGTGACAGAGGTAGTGGTGGTGCTGGTGAGAGCACAAGCCTTTAATCTCAGCAATTGGAGCAGAGACAGACAAATTTCTGAGTTCGAGGCCAGCCTGATCTACAGAGCAAGTTCTAAGACAGACAGGGCAACACAGAGAAATCCTGTTGGTGGTCCAAACCAAGCCCCAGGGGATGGGATCTGGAGGCCTAGTTTCAAGTCTGGGAGAACTGGGGAAAGGGAGCAGAAGCCTGCAAGGCTGCCATGACAAACTTAAGGATATAACCTCACTGTGGCATTTAGCCTCCCTGTGCCTCGGACCTCCCTTCTGTAAAATGGGATTGCAGCCAAGTAAGTTCCTGTGTCATAGGGACCAAGTAAAGCGCTCAGAACAGGGCTTGCCACACATGGCAGACTGCAGAAGTGTTCATCGGCATCATGACTAGTACCCATTGGGAAGCCAGCAGTGGTTGTCCACCTTAGGCCTCCTATATTCCTAGAATGGGCCCCGGGCTGATAGCTTGGGTGTTAACTGCTAGGCAGGAGTACAAGACCAAGAGGCAAGCCGGTATGAAATCAGTTGCAGGTCATGTTCACACCCAAAGCAGAGGTCCTGGGGCTCCAGGTGAAGCTGCAGCTGAGGTCAGAGTTCTCTCTAGGGACTAGGACACGAGATTGTAGGCTCAGGAACTGAGGCAACCCAAACCAGCTGAGCCTCTACTCTTTCTAGAAACATCACTGGATTGAGCCTTGCCCCAGTCCTGCCTATGGGTAGGGATTGTGGGCCTTGGCTCAGAGAGGGAAAATCACATGGAGACATAGAAATCCCTCTGTCTATAGCTCAAATAACGAGCCCCAGCTTTTGCTGCAAATCACAAAGCCAGAAGCAGCACTTGAGGGCTCGGAGAGCTGCCAGCTCTGTGTCTGCTGTCGCCAGCGTTAGAGCACTGGGGTAGGCAGGCACCACACTACTCCATTTGTATGCCCAGTCATGCCCTGGGCTTCGCTTTTCTTCCCCAGCAGGAGGAGGCTGCAGTCTGGGTCTGGCCCTTTAGTTGGTAGTGTCCTAGAAAGTGTGCTCCCCCACTGTGTTTGTGGCCTTAAGAAGAGGAACGCATAAGTGTCAATAGTAACAACAGAACAAAAAGAGTAAGGGAATACATTTTAATATCCAATCAACCCCGGGGGAGCAGGAGACCCAGGCAAAGGAGGTTTGAAGAGATGAGATGGTCTAGTCTGAGGAAGGGAGTGATTTCTGGTTCCCCCATGGCTGATATTCCCTCTCAACTTCAGAAGTGGGAGAGATGACTGGCCCATCTGTTTGGAATTTACTGCAAGGAGAAAGAGAGATGGGGAGAGGAGGGAGAGAGGCGGGGAGGGAGGAATGAAGATGCGTGTGTGTGTGTGTGTGTGTGTGTGTGTGTGAGAGAGAGAGAGAGAGAGACAGAGACAGAGACAGAGATGGAGAGAGACAGACAGACACACACACACATGCACACACACACACACACACAGAGAGAGAGAGAGAGAGAGAGAGAGAGAGAGAGAGAGAGAGAGAATGAATGAATGAATATGAAAATCCAATCTTGGCCATCTCTCTCCCTAACCTGTTCCTTACCATTGACCTTGGCAGCGCCGGAGTTCACAAACAGCTGTCAGGATTTTTCTAACTGTTCTGGGGCCAAGGTCTTTGAGCAGACAACGGGGCCATCCAGGCTGGTAGTCATTTGATTTGATTTGATTGTGGAAGTGGGTATTAAACCCAGGATTTCACACATGCTGGCAAGCACTCTGCCACTGAACTATATCCCCAGTAATCTTTTGTACATTTTCGTACATTTTGAGACTTGGCCTCACTGTGTTGGCCTGGTTAGGAGTGAACTCACTTTGTAGCCCAGGCAGGAGGCCTTCAAAGTTTCAACCTCCGACCTCAGTCTCTGAGGTAACTGGGATTTCAGGGCTGTGCCACCAGACCTGGCTCGGACTGGTAGTCTTCACCTGTTTCTAGATGCTTCTGTGAACAGTGTTTGTTTGTATACACAGTGAGTGAGCCAGCATGGCTATGTTATGGAGCTATCTACAGTCTCTCTGTCTCTCAAGGAACCCAGAGAGCACCCAAGACAGCCTTGAGGTCTACTTCAGGCTACTCTCGAGTGTCTGCTCCCTCGACCTGGCTTCAGGTGGATATGGGTAGAGACAGGGTTATAAAAGCAAACTTGACAAAGAGGGTAGAAGTGTGAGAGGAACCTCTCGGCGCAATGGAGACAGACTAGCTAGTTGCCTTTGCCCAGGTACTTGCCATTCAGCCATACCATCCGCAAGTGCTTGTGCATACTCAGGGCTGGCCCAGGCAGCGGGACACTGGTAGAAGTCCTCTCACAGGGAGCTGTGGTAGCAGAGCAAAGGCAGAGAGAGCACGGCAAAGATCCAATGAAGCAGGTTTGAGTTGTGCTGAAGAGTGAGAGGAAAGCAGGGGGGATCTGCTTGCAGAGAAAATGAGAGCGCACCCGACCAGGGGCCAGGAGGCCTGTGCTGATAGATCCATCCAAGACCCGAGCTGCTGCCCTTCTCTGGGTTTCAGAGTCCTCGGCTCTCAGGGAGGGGCTCTTCTCTGGTATCCCTGCTGCCAGTTCCCATTAAGCCAGGACCCACTGAATCCAGATATAGAGACTCTATTCATGTCTGAAGACATCTTTGAATCCTTTGCATCTGAGATTCGGTGGGACCTCCCAGAGCAATCAGCCTTCTAGGCAGCACCCCTCCCCTAACCGCCCAGTGGAGAGGAATCTTTAGGAACTTGTCTTTGGGGGAAGGGGCAAGCTTCCCCCTTCATCTTTCCCATCTCACCTGCACCTCCGGAAGTCCTTCCTGTATCTCCCTTTCATCCCTTCTGTATATTTGGGTTCTCCTGAAAGGAGTGTCTCTAGGGTCCCATTTTGAATTTCTTTTGTTTCCCCCAACCAAGGAGAGGAAGAATCTGACTGCACATCTGTTTGGAATTTGGGGTGGGGGTAGGGAAATGAGGCAGCTCACTTCTGGAGCACTCCATGAGTTCCAGGGTGGGGGGGGGGGAACCTGGGAAAAACCAGAGCCTCCTGCTACCCCCTCCCCCTGTACACCCCACCACCACCACCACCACCACCACCACCACCACCATGGTCCCTGTCAGCTGCCTCTTTGGCCTTTCTCATCTCTGAAACAAACAAACAATCAGGAGGCAAACCTGAAACCTTGTGCTGAGACGGTAAACAGCGCGGCCGGCTGGGCTCCGGCCTTAATGGGCCCCAGCCCCGGCCTGTCTGCTCCCGCCGGCCTGCCTCCAATGTGTTTCTGATTTGTACCGAGCTAGCGGCTCTGCCACGCTGAATGTGGCAGCTGCCTCAGCCCCGCCTCTCGGGAATGCAGGGGTGGGAAGGTTGGGAGAAGCGGGAGGAGGGGACCCCACCTCCTCAACCAGCTTGGTGCAGAGGCCGTGGCAGGAACTTCTGAGCCATATACACAGACGTGGTCA